TCCCCTGCGACAGCTGCCTGCAGGCACCTGCCGCCAAGACCTGCCTCACCTGCATGGCCTCCTTCTGCCTGGAGCACCTGCGGCCCCACCAGGACAGCCCGGCCTTCTGCCACCACCAGCTGTGCCCGCCCCTGCAGGATCTGCAGCAGAGGAAGTGCAGGGACCACAACAGGCTCCTGGAGTTCTTCTGCAGGGAGCATGCCACCTGCATCTGCTCCACCTGCCTCCTCAGCCACAAGCTGTGTCACACCAGCCCCCTGCAGCAGGCCAAAGAGAAGGCCGAGGTGAGTGAGCGGGGCGGGTGCAGGGCCTCATCCCAGTGTGCCCTGATCCACGATGTTGGCATGCCCTGAAATACAGAGAGGGTCATCGCGGTGCTTCCCTTTGCTCCCCTGGAGCCCAGCAGGTCTCCATGCACTGCGGGTCATGGGCTGCAAAGAAAGAGTGCTGGGGTAGCCTGGACCAAGACCTGCCTTATAAATTTTGTATCTGGTCTTGCCAAATTATTATCTGCCTTCCAATGTGTGCTGTGAGTGTGTCTTAAGAGTCGTTTCTCGCACTTTTCCCCTCTCTCCAAGATTGGACTAGTGGCCTTTAGGGACTTGGGTTTGGGAAGATGCTATCGCAGAGTTGACGGACAGACTCAGATGTGCAGTTGTACTGAATGGCAAGTGCTCTCATCTGTGTGCTCTGGAGAGCACCAGGGGCTGTTGTGGTTGGCAGCAGGGGTTACGTGACTGAACTGTGTATTGTGTGCAGGCATTAACGTGTAACTCAGCGCCTGCTCCGAGTGAGTGTTTTACTCACTACACAGGCTTTGCTGTGTGGCCTTACCACAGGCTTACTGCGTGACTGTCGACACGCGCTGTTCCACGCTGTTCTTACCAAGTGAAGAATTATAAAAGTAGCCGGGGGAGCTCTAGTACATGCTGAACAAAACCAGGAGCTGGCGGTGGTGGTGGCAGCAGCGTTCTCTGTGGAGTGGAAGGGAAGGAAACCCAGCCCTGATATCTTACAGCATTGCTGAAAGTTGGGGAGGGGGGGGGAGGAGAGGAGTAAAGCACACTTGAAAAATCTAAACTAGAGGCACTGAGTTTAGGTGCACAAACTCCCATCCCTCCAGCTGGTGTGTACAACCTAAGCGTGTTAACCTAAGATGTCCTCCCTGATTTTGCTTAGCAGCATCCTGAATTAAAGGAATAGATAATTTACATTCGAGTGATAAAACTCTCTATTAAAGAGAGAGGTAAAAGGTAGCATTAACCTGTAGCCCAAAGTCCAACCTAAGGTAAAGTTCATTCTTAGCACTGACAACTGCTGTGCTGATAGAAGTATTTAGTCCTTATCAAAAGAATGAGCCAACACCATAGGCCTTGCTATTTGGAGAGTGTGGCGATGTGGGAAGAGTGCTTGCTTCACAAACTACACACAAACAGAATATTTTCGTGTCCTGTGAGGTTAAAGGAACAGCATGTTTTAAATCTGTAGTACTTAATACTTACACAGTGGTTAGTTAAAACTTTCTATAAATTTGATTTTCACTCCAAAAAGCATGACCTGACCAAGAACACGCACAGCCGCTGCTTCACTGAAATATCTTCTGATCTTTTCTATTGCAGTCAGCGCTGAAGAAGAGACTGACAGAGCTGCATCATCAGAGCGAAAGCGCTGCTCGAGCAATGAACGTTGTGAAGACAAACCAAAGCCAAGCTGCTGTAAGTGGGCAACTCTTTCTATTCAAAATGCTACCCAGTTGTTGTGGATACTAGTACCCTTGTGACAACGGCTCTAGTATTCATATTGCAGTGTCAGGAGGACTCTGTGTTGGGAAGGAACAGAAAATAGCCCTTTTGGCAGTCAGGCAGCTCTGTGGCAGATGGGAGCAAACCCAACTAGCTGTACAAGAGCTTTATGCTCACAGGCCCATGCCATAGCAGGGCTTGAACCCATCAATTTTTGTTGCACTGGAAAGTGTGCATCTGTGCAGCTCAAGCTAAAGGACTGGTGAACTGGAATGGCTGCACCAGTAAAGAGATTTGGGATGGCTCTTTCCCCTAAATTTACACAGATAGTCTCTCTTACTTGAGCAGAAATCCTTGCTCTTGCATGATGATTGGGGTTGTTGTATGTGATGACTGCCTCACTTGTACCATCCTTTCTGAATTGAGTTGTGGAGACCAAGAAACTGAAAAGCTGCCAGGGTAGCACATCTGTGCTCCTCTGGGATGTCTCTTGGAGGACCAGGAAGAACTCTGTGTCAAGCAGGACTGTCTCAAACCACGTCCATGAGGCAGAAATAACTGCAGTTACGCAAGTGGGTGTGTGGTGTCTACGCTCCAGACTGGCAGAACCTAGTTCCAGTTTGCTGGTGATTTCTAACCACTAGATGGCACGGCTTGCCTGGCTTGTGTCCAGGAGCCCTTGCGAAATAGGAATGTGGAGACGGAGAACTGTCTTTGCTTAGGAGTAAATGAGCTTTCCTTCCAAACTACACAGAAATACATAGCTCTTCTATCACCTACTTCAGGTAACTGAAGTCTACATGTTCCTCAAAGACTTGGTTTTCTCTTGTAGTTGTAGTACTTCTTTGCCCACAAATTGTTCTTTTGAAACTAGCATCTATTTGTTCTTGTCTGCTTCAGGAGACAGCTTCCAGAAAGAGAGATTTGATCATAAATGAGTTTTCAGAAATTAAATCTTTAATTGAAGAAGAAGAAAATCGGATCCTAAAAATAATTGTCGATGAAGAAAAAAGAATTTGCAATAAGTTTAATTATATTTTTAGTATTCTGGGAAATAAGAAGAATGAAATTCAGTCTATCAGAGACCAGATTGAGATGGTATTGACTGAACGTGATGACATTCTGTTTTTAAAGGTAACATGATCCTTAGATGTTAACCCAATTTTTCGTGTTTTGAGAACGCAGAGTCATGAAAAACTGCTGTGGTAGTCCTGCCTGCCAGACACTTGTAATCAAACAGTAATGCAGTTATGTGCAAGAACTTTCTTTAAAAGAAATTTATTTAAAACGTGTGTATGGATAAGTACACAGATATCAATGAAAGACTGCTGAAACAAACTGCTGTCTGGTAATCCCCCCCCCAGCCCCGCAGTCCAAACACTACTTCTGCCACAAGCAGAAGGGCCAGTGAGTTAGACAGCTCATCTCCGTAGGTGAAGTCACTGCTGTGATGTAGCATAGCAGATCTTTCTCAGTGCTCCAGGTATCACTGAGAAGTAATGCTTATGGGTTCCTGCTGAAACATTGCCATGAGTTGTGTCTGAAAGTAGCCTTTGCTCCTCTAAATTTGGGATAAATGCACATAGCCCACCCCACTCTAAAGTAATTTGATTGTATTTGTCTACTTCTGCCACACAACGTGGTCTGCATGAGATCTTCCATTTCTCATTTCAGAGAGCAGCTGCACTGCAACGAGTACCAACAAAAGATGCCTTTGTCCCCCCAATTGAAATGGACCAAAACGTGATACATTCCGCTTATCAATCTGCCATTAACATGAAAGAAATCGTGAAACTTACAGTGACTCAGTCGAGGGAGAAAAAAGGAGAAGGTATTGTATCATTAGGAGAATTGATATTTTGGGCCTTGGCTTTGAGCTCAAATGAGGGGTCTCCCCCTGCCCCCTAAATGTCAAAAAAAGCTAGTGCAGTAAATACTGCTAATTTTAACTGCGTCTTCTAACTTCTGCAGTTCTCCATTTCCAAACAAAAATGCCATGGTCTGGGCTAAACTAGGAGAACAAAGTGTGCCAGTGTCTCCTTACTGTTATCTACACTTGGATAAGTTTATGAGTATCTTGATACTGTGCCCTTCCTCTGGCGCAAGTCAGCATTTATTCCTGACAGTAATTTACCTTTTTGTTACATACCAGGGTAGGTATATGGATTTAAGGGGAGACATAAAACTCTTTGAAAGGATAGGATTATGGTTATCCAGTCTTAAATGCGCTGACAGTACAAGTGTTGTAGAAGTCCTTCTTGCTGGGTTAAGCAAGAGTGTCTTTTGGCTTGGGGCATGGGTAACTTCTATGCAATTTCCATCTCTGCCAGTTATCACTTAAGTTCTAATCAGACACCTGAAAAACAAGACTGTCCTTGCTCTTGCATTACTGTTCCTGGCAATAAAAATCATGATGTAAAATATTATCATTGCAGCAAAACCATCTGGGAAAACTAAGCCCCCTCTAGCAGCTTCCCTAAACAGAACCTCTTTTGACAAAAAGCCTGCTGGACCATGTAAGTACTAAGGGACACCATCCTCTCCTAACTATGGTTTTGCTACTAAGCAAGAATTGACGCAGTTACCCAAGAGCTGTTTGCACTGTTGATGATGCAGTGATTGTCTGTAATGAGTATTTTGGCATGGTAAGAAGAGGACATTTTGTGCTTTTTAGTGATGGATGTCTTCTGAGCTCTAAAGAAGCAAACTGCACAGATGTGACTGTGCATTAGCCTCTGTGTGCGAGTGTGCTTGTAGTGGTGTCAGTGCAGGCTGTAAAGCGAAGCGAAGCAAAGCCTTCCTACCCTTTGGTTCTCGTAATATTCCACTGCCCTTCTGCCTTGCAATGCCATGCAGTATTTCTGTTTCACTTGTATTAAACATCTATGTTTGCTTGTTTAATGGATTTGCATGTAACAAATCCTGCTTAGGAGTTGTTCACGTTCTGTTTCTTTTTCCCTCGCAAGACGCTACCCACAGAGAGAAAATCCATTACCAGATTCAAGTCCCCTTGCAGGAGGATACAGATACCAGTAAGTGGTGATAAGTAGCAGTGAGTGGCAGCCTTCCTCAGATATCTTGCTGGCCAAATCTTGTTTAGAATCCAAGGCTGGGGTGACAGAGACAGTCTTTCTGTCAGATTACACTGGGGTCTTTCAGTGCTGTTTTGGCCAGTTGCTGATATTAATGTAGTACTCCAGCCTGAATTTGGAAGCTCTCCCATAATTTGTTTTTGAAATAAGGCCGTACATTAAGAAACTCCTGTCACTTAACTTGTGAACAGAGATATTCTGGAGATAAACTGGACATGAGCAGCATAGCACAAGTCTGCCTGGCTGACCCAGACACCGTCACGATCCACTGAGCTCTTGACATATGGTCCTTTCCATTCAAAAGGAGTCCTGGGTGGAGAGCACTCACAAGGAACTATTATGGATTGCTGGAGTTGAATGGACTTGTAGCTACATTACAGCTGCACTAAGACTCCTGTTGCAAAGAGAAAAGGGATAGTCTACATGCCTCATGGGAATAAACTTATTGCCACTAGCCCTAGCGCACTGCATCCTAGAGTAGAGATTAGATGAGTTCTCAAGCCTCCTTCCAGGCTTGTGAACCTATGAAATAGGAAGCAACTAGTAAGTTGTGCTACATGTGTAACATTTCAGTATGGATGAATTTGTACTTAGCTTCAACATGCTGGGCCCTCAGCTGTCTACTGCTGCAGCTTCAAAAAAGACAAGAAGGTGCTGTTGTAGCTGGCATAAAATCTATGTCAATAGCTTTTCTATCTTAGTTGAACTAACAATTGTCTTTATTTTTTCAGAGGACAAAAAGAAACCTATTAAACTTGGTAAGTTCAAACTTTCAAAATACTTACTCTAATTTTCATTGACTGCTCTTAAAATGCAAAGTAGATGGTCACCAGCATTGCTGTATTAAGCAAAAGTTCAGCTATTCCCTCTGAGAAAGTTCTTACTAGCCACTGCGAGAGCGATCCAGCACTGAAAGGGATTGTCCCGAGACAACAGAGGATTTTCAAAAGTTGACAAGACTGTGAGCAAACTAAGCTAATGTTGAAGGTAGCTGTGCTTGGAGCAGCAAGCTAGAATAGATAACCTCTAGATGTCCAGTCCAACCTGAATGTTTCTATGGTACTGCGTTAAGTATGCAGTTTCTTCTCAACTGGCCAAACTCTTTTTCTTTTCTTCTGTCAACTCAGCACCAAACACAGGAACACCAAATGCTTCATCTGCTGTTGCAACAAAAGCTGTTATTGACAGTTTTCTGAAGAAATCCAGAGAGGAGCTTTTGCAGTGTAAGAAACCCAACATTACACTCCTTAAAGATGGACTTTCTGCCCTTATTGCACCAGTGTTATGTGACCTCTGTAGTTATCTGGCAAAGATACTTTTGGGGGGGGCTTGGATAACTTAGTAGGTGATCAACTTGTGGTTACAAATCAAGGAGATCAAAGGGGGCAGGAAGTTTAACTTGTTAAGTAAAGGTTCTCTTGCCAGATGGATCAAATTCATCTTCAGTATTCATGTATTTTTAACAATCTAAACAATGCTGTCTCAGCAATGGCTTTGTGTTCCCCAACAAATTCCCCAACAGTTCCCTGACTGTATTAGGGGAGCCTAGAAATATGGTGAAACTCATTGGATTTGTCTTTGAAATTATACGTAGACTTTTACGCAAGCCCATGCTGGCACTTTGTACCTTTCAGTGCCATATCAGCAATCCCCCTCTGCTGCCAACATTTATTTGGATGGTATAAGGAATCCTCCGGGGATGCAGGGAAGAAGTAAACTTGCACTTGCTGTTTGCTTACTCTGTAACACAGAGTATAGGAAACAAGTGCCTGTACAGGCCTGTATAATTGAAAGTGCATTGCTCTTCAGTTCCTTCAACTGATGTGTGTCCTTGCAGATGCTGCTAAAGTCACACTGGATTACAACACTGCTCATAACAAAGTGGTTCTGTCTGAGGGATATACCAAGATGTCTGTCTCAGAAATCTCCCTGAATTACAGTGACCACCCTCAGCGCTTCACCTATTGCTCCCAAGTGCTGGGGTTCCAGTGCTTCAGGAGAGGCATCCACTACTGGGAGGTGGAACTGCAACAGAACAACTTCTGTGGCATTGGCATCTGCTATGGCAGCATGGAGCGGCAAGGGCCAGACAGCCGCCTGGGGAGAAACAGCAGTTCTTGGTGCATTGAGTGGTTTAATTCCAAAATTTCTGCCTGGCATAACGATGTTGAAAAGTGCTTACCCAATACAAAGGCTACCAGGATTGGCGTGCTGCTGCACTGCGAGGGAGGGTTCGTGATTTTTTGGGCTGTTGAGGAAAAGCGTAACTTGATCTATAAATACAAAACCCAATTTACTGAAGCACTGTATCCTGCCTTCTGGGTATTTTCCAGTGGCACTGTTCTCTCTGTCTGCCAACTGAAACCGTAAGGTCTCTTACCTTAATTTAGTGTGCCTGGGTATTTACATGCAAATAATCACTGCTGCGACAGCTCATCTCTGTAGTTGTAACATGTGCTTTGAATGCAAGGAAAACTATAAGCTTGCTGGGTACATGTGTAAAACTACTCCATTTCAATTCTGGGAGGAGGAAGGAAAAAGGGACTTTCAGCTTTAACTTCTAGTTTCACAGGTGCATGCTGAATGAAGAAAATGGGACACTGCAACATAGTAAAGTTAGAAGAAAAGGGCTATTTGGTTGATATTTTTTTCCTATCTCTAGTAAGCTTTTAATTGTGAATGATTTTTAATTGTGAGTGGGAGGGGAACTTTCTTTCAAGTCCACAATATTTTTAATGCATGCAAGGCACCTTAGCAATTTTAAAAGAAGAAATTTGAAATAATTCAAAGAAAAATGATACTGTACAGAATATTGTACAGAATGGGGGGGGGGGGATTCTTCCTACCATACAAACAGTCTTAGTTCAAGCAGCCTCAAAGATCCTCTGTTTGAGAGAGAAAAATTATCAGCTCTTTTATGCAGTTTGAGATATCTCCTGATTCTTCAGTCTGAATTGCTAAAGCTTTTAGATAGTGAGGTAAACCCTTTACCCTGAGGTAAAGAGTTTGCAAAGACTTGATTGTCCTTCTGAAAGCAGTTATGATTACATTAAATGGTTTCAGTAGCTACTGTGACTTCTGCAGTTCCCTGTAGAAGACTTTCAGAAGTCATTTTCTATTCCAAATGTGTTGTACGGCCAGCAATAACCCCTTTGAGAAAGAAATAGGAGGAATCCTTTGACAAATTCAGGTTGCAGGCTTTGAGGTCGGTCTGTGTTGCCTTACCTTGTTCTCTAGTCTCAGACTTATGCATAGTCAGGATTTGAAATACACGTTCTCAATGTGTGACTACCTGAGATGGTACAGAATGAGCTATTGAAATCAGTAAATTCAAATCTTTTAAAACTAAACTGTAAAAGCTAATATGACAAATCTCATCAGAACAGAGACTTGTAGAGTCAATCAATATTAAATCATATAACCCGGAAATAAATTACGTCTACTCAGTCTGGGAACGTATCAAATAAAAGTGTCCTCAGGAAGACATCCTGCAGAGTAGTGGTGTGTGCCCTGTAATGGTATAGTTCTGAGGATATAGCAGTCTGTCCTATTCTGTCCACATCTTCATAGTGAAGGCTCTTCACTATTTCTTTGTATTGAGGAGTTGAGGGGGTGTATTTTGGTCTTGCGCAGGAACAGAAATGTTCTGTCCACTTAAAGCAGGGTCTCCTATCATACAGCTTTTCCTCTTTATGAAGCGGAATATTCCCTGTAGACATATCTTTTGCTGTTCAGTAGATAAAGACTGGGTTTTCTACATTCTGGCCATGTTACTGTGACTATGGTTTCAAGAAAACAGTGTGCTCAATAAACAGAGAACACTGTTTGCTCTCTGTATGAAGGCTGCAGGTAGACAAGTGAGTCTTCTGAGGCGTACAGAAAAGGAGCACACAGGAGAATACACTTCCATGCTGGAATGGATTTTTAATTCTCGTGTTCTTTGCTTTGGGTTGGAGCATGTCTCCAGAAGTCTTCACCGTATACAGAGGATTCTGTTCTTCTGTATTTCTTAATTAAAACTTTAAAACAATCTATAGGTAATCAAGGTTTTTGGATCTCATGCTTATTGAGCCTGCATCTTGTTCATGCCTCTGGACTTACCATGTTCGTTCTTATTTATTGGACTAGCCCATGAAGAAAGGGGACGCTGACAAGGGAGACTTACTGGACTTTGATTAGTAAAGCTCTCCATTATGGAACATAGCATGCTTTGTGAAATAAAACGCAAGGCTCCTATTGACAGTTTGGAAAGAATTGTTAGAACGTTCAAAAGAATCTTTGTGATAACGTTTCACGTTAGCTGAAGTGCTTTAGAGAAAGTCAACACTTGTGGGAATCCAGGCATAGCGTCCTTATTTTTACTTGGTTTGTAAACTCTCCAGTGCATTGTCAAGGATAGCACAAGTCAGATGAGATGCAACTCTTTTGGCCAAAATGGGATTTTTAATTGCAGTTGGACCTAAAAATAGTGCAGCGGTTGTCTTCGGAATAGTTGTAGCATCTAAAGGGATCCAGCTTTCCAAAGTGCAGTCAGCACTAAAACTATCCACCTTGAAAGGTGAGGAAGATGTGGCACTGTCTTCTTAGGAGCCAGTAGTGAATGCAAAACTTCACTCTGCTTTTGTTCTGTCTTTTGAGTAGAGAGAGAGAGAGAGGGGAAGACCAGGGCCAGAAGTCAGATAAACCTCCCAAGTATAGCCATGACGGCTTTGTCCTGCTGTTTGAGTGCTGATGAGAGTGAAGTTGTGACAACATGGAGATCCTGATGTGGTATATGGCTCACTGAAAAGGCAATAGAGAGGGATTCCTTTCCATGGCTGAGTATCAGCGTCTCTACTTCTTTGTCTAGGAGGTCTGAGATATTAACACTGCCCAAAAGCCCTGCTTTTCACTTCCTTGGTTTCAGGAACACCTCCCCTATGAGAGGCACTAGACATGTTCTTGCCTTGTATCAGTGGTCTCTCGCTCTCTATCTGTATGCTCTAATTTGGTACTGTAGGCTCTGCCTCTTTGCAAAGTAGGCTTTTGCCTTTGGAAGTCCAATACAGGTTTTGGGTGCTGAGGAAGTGCTTTTTTGATTTTTCACTTTGTAAGAGATGAGTTTGGTCTCTTAAGTCTTGACTTGTGATCAGCTATTTTGGCTGCTCTCTTTTTCTATGAGGAAGCATTCCAATTGTTCTGCTGTGGGGAACATGAGCATTTAACTGTAAGGACTTTAAAGTGTTCCTTGGGAGCAGTTTTCTCTGAGAAGTATGCTGTCTATTTAGCTGCTTAGATATGCCACAGGGCTGCAGATTCACTCAGCAGTGTGCTGAAGGAGCACTCGGTCCCTTTTCCCATGGGGAGAAAACTGCTCCAGCGGTGTGTGCAGCAGAGGAAGTCTCCCTCTTCCGTTGTTTGTTCTTTGTCTTTCAAAGGGCAGTCAGTACTCACTGCTAAGCCATAAGGAAAGAACAGTTCTTATTCTCCTACAGTTGCGCAATGTAGGATTCTTTAAATGTCACATTGCTATACGACCTGCAAGACACGTTCTGAATTATCACAGGCAGTGAAACAAGCCTACTGCTTTATTAGTGATTCTTTTTTTTTTTCTTTTTTGGTGCTACAGGTAGACTGAGGGTCTGTTCATTTGAAATGAAGTGAGAAATGCATACTGACTTGCTGCACTTCTGAAAACTGATATTTCAATGATTAGTTTCAGATGTCTTGGATACATTAAAATATTGGGGCTGATATATTAGAATAAAGTATTAGTTACAGCATGATAAATAATGGTTCAAAAGCCTCTTCAGTGCAACTAATGTGTTTTTACTCTGTCAGTAATAATGCCACAGCTGTACTGGTTTTAGATAAAATGTAGGTATGAGCACGCTTCTCAATTACACTGCTCTCTAATACTGTAAAGAACCCAAGTTATTCAGTCTATAGAATTAATTCTGGTGTTGTTAAAGCCGTGAGGATGTGAAAAGATTTGTATATTAATGTACAAGTGAGAGTAATTGGAGAAACACCTACTGAAAATATACTATTTGCTATATTATAAGATTCTGCTGTTCTATTAATAAATACAATAGTGAAATATTGCAACTAGAAAAATAAACACTGTTAGAATTATAAAGCTTTGTAGATTGTACTAAGCCATGCAGTACTTCAGTGTGACACCGCATGCTATTTCATATGTATGTTTCAGCTAGGCGTCCTTGTCAGGGCAATAGTCATAGATTCGTTACCTGTTTTATGGTTGTGCCCAGAAATTACTTAGAAGTTGACTATTGTTTAGTTTGTTTTTCAATTGTCAACTGAATTAATTGTGGTATTTTGAATCTAATAGAAATGCACAGTAAACTAACTCTGAATATTTTGTTCAATGCTCAAAGCTGAAGTAACAAGTAAGGAATGCAAAAATAAAGATTCTAAAATGCACAAAAATGTGGCTTCCTACTGTGTAGCTCACCGAGTCGTAAGAGGACTGGGAGAGAGAGAACCGCCACAGCTGCACTATTTTGGAATGTAAAACCTCCCTCCTGAACTATCTCCTTCATCTGAGCTAGGCACCCCTTATCAGTAAGGCTCATCTGAGGACCATCCTATCCAATAAGTGAAACTGGAGACTTTTTGGGGTAAGCAAAAAGCAGCCATCAGCTAGTAATTAATAGTTCAGTTTCCTCCAAGTAGGTGCAATGGGATTGTTTAAAAAAAAAAAAAAAGACTAGATGGTCTCTAGCATCCACCATTGAGTTATGTCTGGAAGCAGCAACGGATGCTGAGTTCTAATCAATATTCAGTGAAATCAAACTAAAGGGCTTGCAGTTAGAGACCTACCTCCCCAGGTATCCAGTGGAAAGGAGCTCACCAGAGCGCTGCTCTGGTGGTTCAATAGACTTTTTATTGCTAGCCAAAAAAAGGCATCCACAAAACAGCTTACTGGTTTGACTTTGCCACTAATAGGTTCTCCCTGAGCGAGTGTAGCTGATGACTGCTTCAGGGGAAAAAACACTCTGAAGAGTTCCCAGCCCATTCAGACAACGCTTTTGACCATGGTTCCCTGCTTGTTCAGCAGAGGTAGGTGGAAGAAGTGATGAAGTTAGATATGCAAAGTAGAACCAAAAAATCCTAATTTTTCCTTGTCTACCTGCTTGTCCCTGTGAGGTCCATGGTATCAAGACGACAGCCAGAATTTGGTCTAGGTTTCCAAAAGACTACAAAAAAGTATTTTGAGCTTGTGTAAACTTGAACAAGAGTAGAGCCTAGGTCTTGGGCACATACTGAAAATTGAAGAGATGTCAGTGCGCTAATTACTGACGTATGGAGCTACTGCAGGGTACAGAACATTTTATGTATTAACTATAACAAGGTCTATCTCCTTGTTCGTTAATGTAGTTTCTTCTTCATTTTGCTTTATGATCAATTTTTCACAGCCTAGGGAAGAACAGAATTGGACTCCAAATCACATTCTCTGGGAACAGAGATGAAAACTTTTGTCAAATTTTTTTCCTCAGTGCTCGTTTCCCTTCCTAAAACAAAATAGTATTTGGCTAGCGTCTAACAGGCTGTTTCTGTGCCACTTCTAATTCCCTCCTATCTCTCCCCCCTTCCTCATTAGCTCTCAACTGAGTGGCTGCTACTTCTCAAATAACCACCAATGTGTTGTTAAAAACATGTCCCGATAGGGTCATTGTGTAACTACTATTCAAAGTCCATGTCATTTAGACTTTCGTTGGCAGCTATCTTGTCCCATTAAAAAGTTCAAGACAGCAATTTGTGAATCTCACTCAGCCAAGTGGAACCATTAAACAAAGGAGTTATTTCAAAAGTCAATTAGTTGTGGTCTGCCAGAGTCATCCTCATTCATTGTTTTCCAGGCCTTGTCAGAGGCCCACATCTGTCAACCCTGTGTTTCCCAGGCTGCTATTAGATGCCATTACTAAATAATGGGTTTATTCAAACCACTTATTGGACTTTGTGTGGTACACATTTGTTTATCCTTTTATCCATTTACACAAAAATATTGTGATGGTGTGCTCTTCTCCCCCCCCCCCCCCCCACCAACCTGACCTCTCCATAAACAGCACATAGCCAGGGGCTCATTAAGCATGTGCCCACCCAAACACAGCTGGTATGCAAGTATGACCATGAGTCAACCATCTTACCCCATAAATAGGGGGCAGCCGAGAACCTGTTGAGCTCTCCTGCACAGCAGAATCTCCCCTTGAGTGGGGATGCCTCTCAAGGTCACTCCTTGAGGTTGAGAGATTCCTTACCCATGACAGATCCTTGGTGACTAATAGCATGCTAAAACTCTGCAAACTTTGCAAAGTTACATCTATGGTTGATTGGGCACATAATCCTTTAGACATAGTCTGGGACTAAGATTGGATCCAGCTGCACCCAGACTCCTCTGAGAAGGAGTTTGTAAAGCAAGGGGGTCCATTCTGAACCTCATGACTCAACAGGAGGGTCTCCTTGACACTCATCTGACCCTGTCCTCCATGCAGGAAATAATGGAGTGAACCCTGCCATCAACACTTGTTCAATCACTATCCTATTTACGATTGAGCTTTTGTTAAATCGCTATCTTACCTCAATAAAACGTATTGCTGCTTCTCTCTTACAAGTGAGCTCACCTCCTCACTCATCTGTGACAAATATAAGCAGTTATGTGAGTCCACTCAAAGTCCACCCAATGGGAGGGTGGGAGGAGCCACCATTAAACTAATGCAAGCTAATTGAAAAGAGGCAGGTTATTTAGGTGAAAATGCCATCATGAGCAATTCTTGATCCTAAATTTTCAACTGAACTTTAAAGAGCCAAGCTAGCTGTATTTCATCTGTGTTTATGTTTTAAATTTCTTGATTATTTTTGATGTGAAAAAACAATTTGTACTTTTTGGAGTACCTACACTCCACTACCAAAAAAAAAAGTTCAAGCAGTTATTGGTGAAAGAAGAAAGGTTTTTTGGTTTAGGGTTCTTTTTTTTTTTTTTAAAGGTTTTTAGTGCTAAAACCTAAGATATCAGAGCAAAATAGCAAATTACTGTCCCTAAGCCATAGTCATTCTTGAGCTGCAAGTGAGTGAAAGTGGTTCTAAACCAAGTAAGTTCTGCAAGACGCTCAAGAGTGTTTCCCCTAATCCTTTGACTCATGAGAGGAAACACAGCAGACCTGTGGGTCGGAACAGCATTATGATAAGATGCTTAAAAAAAAAAAAATTCTTTTTATGCAAATACACCTGAAGCAAAGAAAAAGACAGAGGATTTATAAGAGTCATTGAGTGACTGCAGGGCCTGATAGCATATAATCCCTTTAACTGATCAAGCATGAAAAAGATACAGCAGAAAACATTGGCACCTGGCACGCAATTACTCTGTCTTCTTTGAACCTTTTCAAATTTTGTTCTGTTTTGATGAAAAGAAAGTAAAATCCCCTTATGTTGCTTCTGGATCCTAAAGGACAGGAATAAAGGCAGGCATCTATGTGTACGCTGGGAGCTATGGTGACTTCAGATGATGTGCGGCTGCACAACAGAATACTCTTACTATTGCTTACTGAAACAACATTAGTAACTCTGCATGCATATGGATGAAATTTTTTTGCAGGTTGTGGGTGTGGAGTAGCAGCATAAGTCACCCAGCACATTAGTGATAAAAGGCCCCATGCTCCATTCCGTGTCTGAAGGCCTC